CAACTCTGCCGGACTTTGTTAACAAGTGCTTAGCAATGAAAAATATTAAAATGAATTTTCGAGAAGATCCCGAGTGTTAACCAGGTGGTAAAGATTACCTCAAAACACCTTTAAAAAACATATGTTGCCGACATAGCTCGATACACAGTTCATCATCTGAGGCATTTTTTCTTCAGATAATTTGTTCGTGAATTCTGATAGAAGGTCATTACATCCTTCGAAAAAGTGGAATATAAAGTATCTCCCGAACTAAGACGAACAAATTTACGCATTTCTAAAATTATCTGAAATAGTTTTAACTTTAGTAGCTGCATGTTTTTAATTTAGTTACAGTTTTCGTATCCTGCAAAAATGTAACATTCTTTTTTGAGCTTTTATTTCCCAAAGAACGGGAATATGATATTACAGATTTAATAATTACTTATCAATAATAAATTCTACCAAAAAGTATTTGCCTCTGGAAATTCAGAGTGCATTCTGGGGTTCACATTCCAAACAAAACTCTTGTCAGTTGGAATTTAGCGTTGCAATTGCAACCATAAATTTTCAAATGCAAGCAATCAAGATTCAATTCTAATTGCAATCAAGCTCAATTACAGTTGTAATCAAGATTCAACTTAAGATTACTCTTAATCGAATTCTTGCGACTTTGCATTCAATCTTAGGTATCAAGCACCAAACAAGAATATTTAGATGCTTTAAATCTACTAAGAATATTCAGATGCTTTAAATCTGCTACGAAATTGAACTCTTTTTAGAGATGAAACTGCCATTTCGGCGTTGTTAACTAGTATCTAATAAAGGATAATAATTTTACTCGGAACTGAATAAAATTAAAACCGCATATGAGACTGATTCAGATTTCTGGAAAAGCTTAAAATTTTTCTCTATGTTCAAAGACAAATACTTACTTTGGTAAGCTCTAATTTTTAAAATATGTCACACATTTTGGAAGCAAAGCAACTTTAAAATAAAGTTCTCTTAAAAATATTAATTAAGTAATCATACGTTAATATAAGTTCGGCAAAATCTTCCTGACTTTTTAAGGTTAACTTAAAATTAGAAATTAACTGGAATCTTTTATGAAAGATTTTCCCACTCCGAGGAATATATCAATTATGGAATTGGATATTTTATTATTGGAAGAAATACTTATCGCAAAATTAAGACTAAGTAAACGCCTTCTTCAAAAATACATACATCTCTCTCTCTCTCTATATATAGATATATAGATATAGATATAGTTATAGATTGCTATAATATTATATATATATACATATATATAGTAGTAGGTAGGAACATTGCTTGCAGCAACCTTGCTAAAAAGTTACCAGGAGCTGTAGCTCCACGAAATGTTGTAACATAGTACTACATAGACAATAAGAAATTTGCCTGGTAAAACTGGAAAAACTGTATAAGCGCGATAAAATTGCCAAATTTTAGTGCTAGAAGACATGCTATTGTAATATATATATATATTAAGATTTCAGTTTTATGTATTGAAAAGTTTTGATAATACTTTCAAAAGCCAAAAATATTCAAAAACGCTCTTTTTTGAAACAGTACCATTTTTTGGGTCATGTATTTTTAAGTTACATTACATGACACTAAGGAGGTCATTCGTGCAATGGCCAGTTCTCATAGATTTTAACATTGCATGCGAGATAAGTTGCCTTTCAGTATGGATTTGCCATAGTTCCGGTGTGGTGGTGTATTTAATTATGGCAAAGCACACTAGGGTTATCTGCCTAAGGGAAGGGATGCCTTCGTGGAGGGCTTTCTAAGGGAAACTGGCTCGTATACACTGCCATAGTTCCGGCAGTCAATCTTTAAACAAGTGTAAGGAAGGAACATAACATATAAGGATTTCTCCCACACGCCTGGTGTAAGGCAATGATTATCACACAAAATCTGTTATTCGAAGATCCTATGTAAACTCCAGAGGAAAGTACAGCTTAATATGAATTATTTCTGGCTCCTTAATAAGCTTTCAGTCCCTACAAATAAGCAATTATCCTTTAGCACAAGTGGTCGCAAACTGGTGGTCCTATAAGCAATTTTATGCTACCCGTAAATACAATTCAATTCTATATTTATTGCAGATACGATATGGCAAAGATATCGAGATTTCAGTTATTTGAAGTCCGAGTTTACATTATTTTCATCTAAAACGAATGTGAATAAAGCGCTAGAAAATCTACAAATGAAAATAATTAATTTACAAAATAATATATATCTTATTCGAAGATTTGAAAATATATATTTTATTTACTTTTATTCGCGGTCAAAACCTTGATTCTCTAGGTTACGCATTTCTGCAATAAAAATAATTGTTTTGCTTGAGAATTCATTTGTACATAAACAGCTTTTTTTCAAAGCTGAAAATTAATAAGAAAAGATTCAGATTGAATGATAAGCATCTACAGTCTGTGATGAAGACAATTTTGACTCATTAAACAAACTCAAATAATTCAAAATAACCAAAGAGTGCTACAAAAATTTTCAGAATCATAATATCATCAAGTGTCAAGGCTACAACAAGAAATTAAATAGTTTTTAATTATTTACATACAAATTATAATAGTATATAATTATACATTATTAATATATTATTACTTATTTTTATTTACCCCTCAAAGAAAAATTTAATAAATAAGAGTATAAGGTAATTTCCCGCTTTCTTAGCGTGCCTTCGTGGTGTAGTGGTTCTGCACGCTGGGCCGGTATTCCAGAGGTCCGTGGTTCGATTCCCGGCGAAGGCGTTGCTAATTTTTCAACTCTACGGCCTCAAAATAACCTAATGTCTCTACAAGAGAAAGAGACTCTGTGTTATTATTTATTCTCAAGTCCACTTGTCCCACTTAGAAAATTTTCATAATATATTTATATTTAGTTAAAATTAAATTATTTAAGATTAATTAAATAAGTTAAAATTTTTTTAAAAGAAGCATCAGTCTGAAAATGTAATACTCAGCTGTTAATATGTTTGGATTACAAATTGTGAAGAATAAAAAATATCTTCCAGCTACCAAATTTTAGATTTCAGGTGGAAAATTAATATAAATTTGGATAATTTTCTTTGGGTATTATTATTATTTTTATATATGTGCATTTTTATGAATATTTAATGAGAGAAATTTTAAATTAATTAATTTTTTTTTAATTTTCATTTCGCTAAAAGTAAAATAAATTCTGGCTCTTCAGCTGTTTTCAGATCCAGCATCCAGCAAGCATGCTATTTAAGTTTCAGATCACTGTTCTAGGCTTCCCACATAGTTTGTTGCTTTCAATAGGGGTGTGGTTTTTTATTTATATTTATCTTTCAAATAATAATTGCAGTTGCTGAGTGATTTAAAAAGGATATAGGGCTTTATTATTAATTTTATATCTTTATTTTTTTAATAAAATAATTAATTCCTATATACCCGAATGGAAATTTTAATGAAAGCTTGCTGCGTTATTACTTCCTTATATGATGTAACCGCGAAAAATTTTTGATATCATATTTCAATAGAAATATCCATAACGATCATTTCCGAATGTATTTGGACGACTTTTTTTCGTAACATCTGTAGGTACGCCAAGAATAAAGAACCCTTTTACCCAAAACGGAATTTATATTGTACTCAGAAAGGTTATATCTGAGACTTCTGTACATACGTACGTATGTATGTATCTCGCATAAATTAACATCATAAACCTTAATATCCCATAACTTAGCATCGTAAAAACGAGTAGCCGTAGAACGCTGAAATTTTGTATATGAGACTGCTGTTACAACTAGTTGTACAACTCCCTTTTCTGTTACAATCGTATATATGCACACAAACATACACTTACCCAGCTTAAAAGTTCTTACCCAGCCTTTGTTTTTGCAATCGTTGGTCGTAGTCATATACCTTTAATTACAGAAGGGTTTTAAATGACAAAAAGTTTCACGTTCTGGCAATGTGAAATTAAAAAAAAAATAATATTTTCGACAGATAGCGATATTCTAACTATGCGGTGTACTGGTTCCTTTAGTTATATTCAGGAAAGTTTCATGCTGGTTATGAAAAAACAAAATTATAAGAAGTTTGAGAAAAAAGGACCGGGACGCTTGATTTCAATTTGCAATTTTTCATGTCACTTTCCTTGAGAGCACGGTTATTAAAGTTAAAATAATTCAATGAAATAAGTTTAACCGCAGCAAAAGATGTATATAATTTAATAGGACATGCAAGGAAGTTATGGGTTGTACATATGAGATTTTTTTAATAATGAAATACGTTTATGTCGTATATTGTACTTAGGTACAAAATAATCTCATTCTCCAAATATATTTCATCTATCTTTCTGTTAAAATGATTAAATTATGTTCGTTTACTAAACCTTTTAGTGACAAAGTTTAAATGGATGCAAAAATATTCTCAACTGTTTTACTTAAAAAAACTGAAAGCACTAAAAAAATTTATTTCTCGAAATTATTTCTAAAATAACAAAGTAACATTTTTTTGTCATTAAAAAAACTATTTCGTGCAGCATGCTTTATTTCACATTGAAATAAACTCCCAAAAATTGTCTTTTATCTAAAGGAAAATACTATTCTCCTTTTTATATTGCGATCAATTGCTATTGTTTATTCACCATTTATTGAACTTTCCTTTTCTACCGGAATAGATGCAAGATAGAAAATTTCCGTTACAAACCGTCCAAAAAGAAACCATTTTTAAACTTTAGTGAACGAATTAAGGCAATTTAGAAACAGCCTCAGGTGTGGCGGAACTGAAGGCGAAATTTTCCTTCACAATCGGAAGTTATTTTAATCGTCGAAAATATTTTCCGGAACAGTGGGCGAAAGCTCAAAGCGGTGCTCATTTCCTTATGTATCAAATTTCATTCTTTCTCCACAAACCTAGTTCGAAGCCAATTATTTAATAAAATCTAGTGACCAAAAAATAGTTGTAGCCGACAAAAGTCACCAAACAAAAAGAAAAGGGAAGAAAGACGAATGACAGACGCATCTAGTGTCGAATAACAAATCATCCATTGTTTCATCGACGCGCCAAAGATCTAGACCAATCAGAGAAAGTTCTATTGGCCACGTGGTGATCTCTGATATATAATAAACAAATAGAGCGAAGAGTTTCCTGCAGGTAGACTAAGTCAGATTCAGTGAAGCCAAGAACACAGACGTCATCATGGTGTTCTTAAGGCTAAATACTCTGTTCGTAGCTGGTTGTGGTGAGTTAACTTTTCGATATCCTCCCGTCATGCGTCAGTGCGAGAAGAAAGACTTTACCGTTTTCCTCTGTAGTGTAATATGTAAAATAAAATCTACTATTCGAAATTAAATTAAACTTTACTAATTTAAACATTTAAACAAATATTTTTTGTTAAATATTATCAAACAGGTAATTTAAGTATTCAAGTGACCAGGAAATTTTATGTGTGAAAATTTTAAAAAGTTAGTTGAAATCCACTGAGAAAAATTTTCAAATAGAAAAGAATTCAGAAATACAGAAAATTTAACAACTTGTATTTTATGTTTGAAGTATAAGAGAATTTCATTGAATTAATTAATAAATAAATAATTTACTAGCAAACAATTATTATTATAAAATAAAAAACGAATTATAAATTTGCATAAATAAATTAATGTATTTTTTTAATTTGTGATTAATAAATAAATAAGTTATTAATTATTAAAACAATGACCTTAATTAAAATTAATTAATTATTTTCAAAGTTAGTGAAAGAGATTTCAAGATATTTATGTGCTTAAGTGGGGAAGTTTTTATAATCTATCACAAAATATGTTTATATATGTTACCTTTAAAAACAAATCCTCAACTTCGGTGTTGAAACTTTTACGAAAATAGATTTTGCATAAATTTTAATTAAATGAGTATAATTTTATACTGAAATTTTACATAAAAATATAATTAAGTGAATATATTTTATATGAAATATAGATGAAATAAAAATTTAAGATAAGTCAATTTCTTGATCATTTGATATCTTTTATTTATGAAAGTAGATTTAAGCTACATAAAAACCAGAATGAAATGATTAAAAAAGCACTCTGAAGGAAATAAAGAAGAAAATCAGTACATTTAAATCTTAGATACCTTTCAAAACGTATAAATTTAAAACTTTAGAAACCTATTTTACAGAATTTTTATTCATTTTTCAAGTTCTTATTAAAATTTGATCAGTTTTTTTAGCATTAGTAAGAATTTCGAGGTTAAGGGGGAGGGAGAGGGAAAAGATGTAAATTTTATCTAAACTGCTTTGCATCTTAATGTGTGATTCTTCGAAGAATATCCATAAATATAAAATTCAATTGCATATTTTGTATTTTAGTGAATTCTAGTGCTGATTTTGATTTAGGTAATTTATTTTTTTAAATCAATGTACTGCTGATATCTGGGTTAAAAATTTAACAATCGTAATAACTTCATAAAACAATCGTGATAACTATATTATCCAACAGTTTATTTATTATTAAAAAAAACCCAGAAATTTAGTGCTTTCTTAGGTTTCTTAAAAATATAAAATGCAAATCAGGATTATATGCACAATGGTAAGTCCTTGCTATTACAGAAAAAATAATTCAAACGTAAAAGATAATAAAATCTGGTTTCATCGAGAATTTATATATATACATATATATATTTTGGTTTTGTTACAATTTATTTTTATTGTTATTATTCTGCAGTTATTTTTAATGCCGCGCTTATATATATATACACTTTAGAGCTCATTTTTACATAAAATTCAACGAAAATGTATTTTCCTGCAAATATATACATGGTAAACATGTGCATGTTTTTATAAAACAAAGAAAAAATTAAATAATTCCGTATTTAAAAAAAAAAAAAACATTTGGATACACAATTAATTGAAACAATAATATCCAAATATAAAATGAGCACATTTTTACAATTGTAATCTGCGAAAAATAATCAGATATATTTTAAAGAAAGCGTGTTATAGATGTAACTGAATCATATGCACATCAAGGGAAAGAAAAAAGATATATACAACACTGTAAATGGGAAACAGCTTGTTCATTAAAATAACGTATTTATTTTCACTTGAAAAATTATTAAGAAACTGATTTCCACTTTTGTGTGATATAGAGTTTTGCAAAATGATATATCTCAAAGCTTTTTCTACGTTACTATCTGAAGCTAAAACACTTTTTAACCATCAGTCATATTTTATTTATGTTTTTATAGTTTTATATAGAAAATGAAATGTATACAGATTTATATTGCATCAATATACTTCTGATATATTTTGGTAAGATAATGCACAAATTCTTGCAGAAGGGTAACTGATACGTTACTGAAAAATGAAGGTTAAAGATACTGCAAAAGTGTGCATAAAAATGCATTTATCAACATATAAATTTTTGATGCATTAAGTACGAATTACATAAAAATAGCATTTATCAACTCTTACACAGCATTAGTTTTCCGATTTTGAAAAACAATTAACATATTAAGTAATCACAAGACTGTCAATGAAAACAAAATCTCTTCCAAAGGCTATAAAGTTCCAGTTTAAAGCCTACTGCTTTATGAAAATGTTATCTCATGTACCATACTAAAGTACGTTTTTTTTTTTCAAAATATTTGACAACAATTCTAATTGTTGTCAAATCCAAACTCATTAAGCAGAATTTTTGTCAAATCCCAACTCATTTAAGCAAAAATTTAATTTCTAATCTTCAGACAGAATGTATTAGAATTTGTCTGCCAGTATTCTTTTAAGAACCTATTTTTTAATATCTCTCAATTTTTTTAATATTTATTTTTTTTAGTCTCAGTGACACGTTATCTAACAAATTATTTAATTGAAAAATAGTTTATCAATAATGACTAATCAATCTATTATATCCAACAATTATCTTATGTAAAGCGATCTAAAAAAAGCAGCGACAAATCAGAAATTAAGTTAAAAATTTCGTTTGAATTTCATTTCAAACATTTTTTTCCACTCTACTCAATGGCGAGAACAAAAAACTATGAGATCTCTAGTTTATTTGTTAAACGGAAATATATGCGAAAAACCATTTTACCATTCAATTTCAAAAACCTTAAAATCAAAATCTGATAAGACCGCTTAACCGCATTATAAAATCAGCCACAATGATGCAAAATGTGGGCTTCATAGCTTATCAGGAAATAATTTTAAAAGGGTCGGCAAAAATTTGGCCATAGTGACAAACACCATGTGGAAGTTAAGTAAAAAACTTGTAAAAGTGCAGCTAGTTTTTAATAAAGCAATACATGTTTTTCATTTAACAAATGCCGGCTTGTTGGCTACTATGTTATTAGCCTGCGAGTTGTCAGTATGAGCAGCGGTCATACATTGTCCAGGCGAATACAAAATACGCACGGTAGAGTCGTCGACAATGTTAAAACAAAATAAATGTGCTCGGAGACGGGTGTGTCCAGTCAACAGTTTAAAAGTGGCCACCGCAGCTGCACAAGGAGCATCCAGAGCAAGACGGGATTTGGTGCTGCGAATACTCCAGGTTTTAGTACAGGAAGAGTAAGCAGACACTGTATTATAGGACCAGTTGAAGATTCTTTTAATATCCAGTTTTGAAGGGGAGAAAGGCAGATTTCTATTTGATTTTTGAATTAAACTGTAACCTTTTCATGCAAAAAGGTCCTCTTTCATATTTCCTCAACATCACAGTAGAAGAGTACCCAAAGGGAAGACACTTTGCTTTGACATCTGTCAAGTAGAGATTTACATTGCTAGATGCGAGGACTTTTATTCTCTTACTTAGATAATAAAGTCTGAAGAGCAGATGTTGAATCGGAGGGAATCACAGCCTTTTCAAAGGAATTCTGGCGAATGGAAAGTTGCTGAAGAATTGTATACATAGACTGAGCCCAGATGATCATCTAAATGGGTGGTGAAATTGCCAGCTGGCAGATAAAAACAGAAAAGTTTACAAAAAATACCAGCCCTATCACCTTGAGTAAACTCGAGAAGGGAACCATATGTATAGATGTGAAGTCATTTATGAGTAGGATAGCGATCGTGGATTGTTTCCAGAGCAATCGCACGGAGTGCTTTAGAACAGGAGTCTGACTTTTCTGTTTTCCGATTTAGGTCCAATTTTACATGAAGGCTCAGTTAATTCAAGGGACAGTAATTCAGTAGGTGTATTATTAATTAAATGGAAACAGTCAATATCATGTACACATTGTTATCCAATGTGTTTGACCCTTTGAATTTTCAGGTTTCGTGTGATTGTTATCTCTTCAAAATTTTATTAGAGAGCCTAATTAACCTGATATAGAGACTAGTTGTATCCTTTTAGTCACATTAATCAAAAGTTTTTTTTTTTTTTTTTTTTTTTTTTTTTTTTTTGGCAATAGCTGCATCCCTAATACAGGGTAATCTTGACCCTTCAGAAAATGATTTTTAAAACGGTTTGAAAAGTCTCGATGCTATTAATCCCCCTATCAGAAGCAGAAACCAACACTTCGTTGCAATAGTTCAGGGCTGGTTGAATATACAATTTAAAAGTTGTATTTAAAGTTTCTCTGTTACAGCCCCATTTAATTCCTAACAGCAATATAAAAAAATGCAAAATGTTACAATAACAAAAATAACAGTGTATTCAAATGGATTTAAATATTTACAGAAATTTACAACAATAAGAACCTATTGATCTAACAAAAAAAAAAAAAAAAAAAAAAAAAAAAAAAAAAAAACTCTCATCGACAAACAATGCGTGTATAAAATTTGAACACGATGATTTATCAGTAAGTAGGTTAAAAATCGGTGAAATACCAACCACTGTAAAAAGATATGAGGGAACTAAATAAAAGCGTATAATAAGTTTATATTCTTACTGGAGACTCCGCATATAAATCTTAGAGTTACATATTCTGCAAATCACGTATTTATTAAAGTATATTTTATAATTTTTATGCTTGCCTAATTCATGTCATCTTTTAAACAATTAAGAGTATTTTTATTACACTGCTGGCCATTACAATTGCAACACCAGGAAGGAAAGATCTGACGAACGTCAAAAATCACATTAAAAAAAGAAGAGGTTGGGATATGCAAATGATTAGTATTTCAGCCCATTTAGACGACGCAGAGGGGAGAAACAATATCTGAAGCACTGTATAAAGAAAAGTTGTGTAGTGGATATCTCACCCGAAAAGCGCTTTGTAAGGTCGGAGTTTGCTCAGAATATCGTG